GGTAGAGCACTAGCCTTGAGCTGAAGAGCTGAGGGACAGAGCCCAGGCCTAGAGTTCAGGCACCATCACTGGCAAAAAAAAAAAAAAAAATGCACCATTGCAAATTGGGTGTATTATCCAGGTATGTATACACTATTTTTTGTACTGCTGGTCTTGTACCAGAAACATTTTCTTTTATTGTTACTTGCTTTTTAAACTTTGTTTTAGACACTTAAAGAAAAGTATGTTCACAAAAAATAAAAATAAAAGAAAATCTGCTTATGGCACAATTTGACTCAATCCATTCCAGGTTGTATATTTGTTTTCCAATTAAAAAATTACAACTTACTGGGGAAAAAAAGTGTACACTTCAATGCTCAGCAAATCTACTCATCAGCAGGCAAAAAACACTGTTCAACAGAAAGGAACCAACTGTTGTGTCAACCAGAAACATATATAAATCTCAAAATCTCAGGCTGGGAAGGTGGCTCAGTTGCAGAGTGCTTGCCTTGCATGCATGAGGCCCTGGGTTCCATTCCTCAGCACCACATAGCAGAAAAAAGCCAGAAGTGGTGCCGTGGCTAAGGTGGTAGAGTGCTAGCCTTGTGCTGAGAGCTGAGGGACAGCGCCCAGGCCCAGAGTTCAGGCCCAACGACTGACCAAACCAAACAAAAATCTTAAAATCTCAAAATCATTATGTATAATTCCAATTAGAAGCCAGGCACCAGTGGCTCACACCTGTAATCCTAGCTACTCAGGAGGCTGAGATCTGAGGATCACAGTTCAAGCCAGCTAGGACAGGAGAGGTCATGAGTCTTATTTCCAATTAACCACCTAAAAGCTGGAAGTGGAGCTATGGCTCCAAGCGGTAGAGCACTAGCCTTGAGCAAAAACAATCAGGGACAGTACCCAGCCCTTGAGTTCAAGCCCCCCTACCAACAAAGCCCCCCCAAACCCCCAAAACATCAGAACAGAGGTTTGCTGAAGATTTAGGGTGAGGGTTGACTAGGACAGGGATGAGGCTCTCTAGATTGTTGGTCATTTTCATAACTTTCTGCCATTGAAGAGTGTCTTTTGCTGTCCAAAGTAATAGCTACTAGCATATATACCTGCATTGAGCACTGAAATTGAATTTTATAGTTATTTATTTTATTTTGTGCTAGTATTGAGACCTCAACTCAAGGACTGGGTTCTGTCCCTTAACTTTTTTGCCCAAGGTGGCTGGCATGCTACCATTCGAGCCACACCTTCATTTCTAGCTTTTTGTGTGGCATATTGGAGAAAACAGCCTCAGGACTTTCCTGCATGGGCTGTCTTTAAACTGTCATTCTCTGGGGCTGGGAAGGTGGCTCAGTGGTAGAGTGCTTGCCTTGCATGCATGAGGCCCTGGGTTCCATTCCTCAGCACCACATAAGCAGGAAAAAGAAGCCCACAACAGGACCCCCCCCAAAAAAAATAAATAAACTGTCATCCTCAGACCTCATCCTTCTGAGTAACTAGGATTACAGTTGTGAGACACCTCCTAAGGATTTTTGTTTGTTTTTGTCGGTCATGGGGCCTGAACTCTGGGCCCGGGTGCTGTCCCTCAGCTCTTCAGCTCAAGGCTAGAGCTCTACCACTTGAGCCACAGTACCACTTCTGACTTTTTCTGCATATGTGGTGCTGAGGACCTCATGCATGCAAGGCAAGGATTCTACTACTGAGCAACCTTCCCAGCCCCAAGGTTTTTTGTTTATTTTTTTTGGTAGGTCATGAGCTTGAACTCTGGGCCTGGGTGCTGTCCCTGAGCTTTTCAGCTCAAAGCTATTGCTTTACAACTTTAGCAACAGTGCCATTTTGGTTTTCTAGTGGTTAATTAGAGATAAGAGTCTCATGGACTTCCCTTGCCTGGGCTGGCATTGAACTAGGATCCTCAGATCTCATCCTTCTGAATTGCTAGGATTACAGACATGAGCCAGCTGAGCTTGCTATTTATAAGCTATGTGAACCTATTTAAAATTTCTTTCTTTCTTTTTTTTTGTTGGTCGTGGGGCCTAAACTCTGGGCCTGGGTGCTGTCCCTCAGCTCTAGGCTAACGCCCTACCACTTGAGCTACAGTGTCACTTCCAGCTTTTTTCCTGCTTATGTGGTGCTGAGGAAGCTCCACTTCTGGCTTTTTTTTCTTTTTGTTTTTGTGGTGCTGGGGAATCGAACCCAGAGCCTCAGGCATGCAAGGCAAGCGCTCTACCACTGAGCCACCTTCCCAGCCCCCTGTAAAATTTCTTTGAGCCTTGGCTTTGCCTCATTTGAAAAATAAATGCAGCCAGGAGCCAGTAGCTCATGCCTGTAATTCTAGCTCTTCCAGAGGCTGAGATCTGAGAATCTTGGTTTGAAATATGCAGAGTAGAGAAATCTGAGAGACTCTTATCTCCAATTAACTAGCAAAAAAGGGGGAAGTGGAGGTGTGGCTTAAGTGGTATAACAGCCAGCCTTGAGCAGAAACAGCTAAGCCTGAGTTTATCCTCACACACAGTAAAATAATCTATGGTGGCTGGACTTACCTGTAGATCTTGTCCAGCTACATAATTCCAAACTATAGTGATGGAGAAGAAAATTCTCTGGAATGGGTGCTCACCCTGCAACTTGGAAGGCTGAAGGAGGATGATCTTTACAGCCCAAGAATCCAAGGACAGCCTGGGCAATATAGCAGGATCCTATCACCAGAATAAGTAAGAGGGGAAAAAGCAAGGGAAGGGGTGACATTGTCCAAAAAGAAATGTACTCATTACCTGTCTTAGGTAACTGTAATCTCTCTGTATATCACCTATTATAATAACAAAATATTTAAAAAATAAAGAATAAGCAAATAAATAAAATTATCTGAGCGATCAGTTGCAATGAGTAATAAGAAGCTCAGCAGATGGGAAAGACAAAAAGCATAAAATGATCCTTCGAAGGGCAGTGAATGGTGGGAAGAGTCCAGTCCGCGGACTGACAGAGGAGCAGACTGGGCAGGTCCTTATCGTGGCCTGCTTATTGGTCAACAATGACAAAGGGAGGAGAAAACAGCAAAAGAGATCAGAGACAGCTCTTCCCCTAGGACAGACTCAGCGGGTTCAAGAAAGAGCGCGTCGGAATGGTTTTCCAACCTTCAGTCTGCTTTGGGTGACTTTATACCTGGCGCTGCCCAGCCGCAGCCCGTTTCCTCCCAGCACGCTCACCTGTCTACCGGAAACCGCACGCTGGATCACCGCGGTAAAGACCCCCTTCCCGGGTGGTGTTCGGAGAACAATCCCCGCTGCGAGAGTCGGAAACAAACACTGGCCACGCCCATGGCCACACCCCCTCTTCTGATTGGCTAGAGGATTTAAAGACCCGGCCGGTGATAGGTTCATTTGCTTAGCCCAGAATTTGAAAGTTCCTGGGTTTGCAGCTTCGGCGTGCTGCCGGCTCCAGTAAGCTTACACCTCGGAAAGCCATCCCTGGTGAGTTCATGTCCGATCAGGCAGACAACCTGATTCTTCTGGGGGTTCCCTCCAGGAGGCCATTATGGAGGGAGTGGGGTGGGTCCAAGGTAACACTACGGATTCCAGGGCCCGGGATTTCCCAGTGGATTCCCTTCTCTTCCCCCTGCCCTTCCTTCCCCACATCGGAGGTGGGAAACACCCGGGCAAGGGAATCATACCGACCATGACACCCCACTGGCCCTGTGGCTTAGGAAGGCCTATCCCAGCCTGTTTCCATTGCTGTGACAGCGAGACCTGACCGGCTGTATCCAAACCTGTGAACGTACCTGGAGGACAGAACACACGTGACACCTTGGGGACTCCCCCTTGCTACCCGGTGAGTGGACCCCGACGATTCCCACGCTGGCCCCGCAAGTCTACAAGAGCCCCACCCCCACCCCACCCCACCCCCTTTTATCCCTGCTGGGTAACCCCAGTCCTGACAGCGTTTGGCCACGCCCACCCACCGCTGCGCCTGTTGTGTTTTCGTTTACTTTAGTGCAGGTAAGCAGGGCTTGAACTCCTGGCTTAGGCTCTGATCCTTAGCGTCCTCCCCCTCCCTCCCCCTCCTCCCCAAGGCTGGCACTTGAGCCACAGCTCCACTTCCGGCTTTTTTGATGGTTAATTGGAAGTTAAGAGTCCCACGGACTAGGGAACTGCAAACTCGATGGTCAGATCTCAGCCTCCTGAGTTTTCTGTTAATCCAGGAGCATTTCTTTTTTTCCTCCTGTCACCGTCGTGGCCTCTTGGTGTTAAACAGTGACCGCCTGGGAGGCGACCGTCACACCATCCTTGATTTACACCCCCCAGGCCCCCAGTTTCTCTGCCCAGGCGGCGGCGATGGTGTCTGGCACCGGGACGGCTGACTGTGAGGACGCGGAGCTGCAGTGCCGTGTGGCGGTGGAGGAGCTGAGCCCGGGCGGGCAGCCGCGGAAGCGCCAGGCCCTGCGCACGGCGGAGCTGAGCCTGGGTCGGAACGAGCGCCGGGAGCTGATGCTGCGGCTG